TTTCTTTTTATTCTTTTATATCATTCATTCTCTTCTTTTTCAATTATTTGCTTTTTTTCGTTGCCGTTTTCTTCTTCTTTCTGTTTCATCCATCCTATCAAATATTCCTTCTCCTCTTTTAATTGCTTCTGAGTATGTTTCATTATCTTTTATTTCAAATACTTCATTTTTAATACTTCCTATATAATATTGATAATTCTTAGTAGTATCATCAATTGATTGTTGAATATTTGGAAGTGTTTCTATTACTTCTTTAAACATTTGATTATTCTTGTTTATTAATTCTTCAATTTTAATTTAATTTGATGTTTATAAGTTCAAAATATGGATGTTTAAATAGTTAAATACACGTTATTAACAAATAAAGTCAATCATTATTTTTATCACCTTTCTATTTTAAATAAATGTTATTTTTATCATTTTACAATAACAATAAATATATAATAATATTAATAATATAATAATAATAAAATTATAATAAAATTATAATATTGTTATTTTCTATAATTAGTTTATTTTAAGATGAATATTCTATAACACATGTTATAGTTGTTATTTAACTTCACCAATGATAAACCATTTTGATTTTTGAGAATCAACAAAAACAATCAGTGAATTTCAATTTACATTCAATGCTTTATCCTAATAAATAAAGTCACATCAACATTGATATAGGTAATTATCTCATCAAAAAATATTATAGTACAATGATAATTGGTTATTCAACAGTTAATTTTATTCAATGATCATTTTATTTCTTATATGTTTCATTGTCAAATCTATTTAGAAAATAAATAAAGGAGTAAAAAGAAATAAAATTTGAAGAGATGCAAAAGAAATGTTCTGTAAGTCTTCCATAACATGAATAAAATGAATTTACAAAACGTTTGTTTTTAACAATAAACAACATTTAATATAACAATTTCAAATAAATAAAATATCATAAAAAGAAAATCAATTATTATAAAGATAATATAACAATTCAAATACTTAAACAATATTTTTATGAACAAAAACAAAAGAAATAAAGAAATACAAATATGAGATAAGAAAAGTAAAATAGAATATAACATGACACAATGATGAAATAATAAGATAATAAAGAAGAAATAATAGAAATAAACAGAATAATAAATGAAAATGAAAAGAAGATAAAATAAGAAATGAATAAGAAATGTAAAAGAAGAGAATGTCTAAAACATGTTATAAAAGAAATAATAAAAAAGAAATTAATGAAATATATCAAAATATACAAAATAAGAATCATTCATCTACACTAATAAACAATTAAAGAATAAATAGAATGAAATATAATAATAAATTGAAAATGAACAAATAATAATTACATTAAATGATAAATGAAATGATGTGGTGTTTATAATGATAAAATAACAAGAAATAAATAATAATAATAATATAATATAATATAAATAAACAAAATAATAAATAAACATGAAATAATAAATGAATATATGAAGAGATGAGAGTAACTAAAATAACAAATAAAAGAAATGTTATGAGGAAGAAATGGAGAATAAAAACACGAGAAAATACAAAGAAAATAAACAACAATACAAATAAAAATTGTAAAAACAAAATAAGGATAGAAAATAAAAAATAACGAATGAAGTGAAACAAGAAATAATCAATAACAATGAATAAATCATAAAAGCAATATATTTATATAGTATATAAAACAAATGAAATACACAACAAATGATAATTGTAAATGATATAAAGATAAAACTAATACTGATTAATAAAATAGAAATGTATAAAACAACCTAGATAAAATAAGACAAATTAATAGAATAAATTAAATTAAATTCAATAATAATTACAATAAATTGAATAATCAATAAAGAAACAATAAAAAGAATAAAGAACAAAACATAATAATTTTAAATTTAAATGATGATAAAAGATATAATGAATAAAAACATGAAATAACTAATGAAATACCAGTAAATAGAAATATAGAACTAGTTCATAAACAATGTATTTAACAAAATGAATGAAATAATCTCAAATTAATAAAATCTAGTAATTTTTCTTCAAATGAAAATGAAAGATTTGATAAAAATAAAAAGATTTCAATTACTGAAACTAAAAGAACCAGATGAAGAACTGTCATTAATAAAAGAAAGAACAGTTTCTTGAATAAGGAAGAATAATGAAATCATAAACAAAATCAAAGTAACAAAAAATATTATCATTACAACAAATGGAGTTGATGTAATAATATCTATATAATAAATCTTATTAATCTTTTAACCTATCAAAATAAAATAAACAAACTTGTAAATGGTGTTTTAGGTTTTATAGTAAATAATGTAAATCCATTAAAACGATATAATGACATAAATATAAATAAACAAGGAAGAGTAAAAGCAAGGAAAAATGCAATAATTCCAGCAAAATCAAAAATAATTTCTAATGAATCAATAAAACAAGTCAAAATAAAAGGAGGGAATATTGCTAAAGCACGAGAAATATATTTACATTTCTTTGGATGATTAAGAACATATCTGTGTGGGAATAAATTTTCAATATTCATTGCTAATGTATTTGATAAAATAGGAAATGAACTTGTTAAATTAAAAACAGGGAAAAAGAGGATAAGATATTTAATAATATATGCAAACCATAATTCCTTCCCTTCTCCCCAACCTCCATTTCTTCCAGTATATGTTGACCAATTTAATGTTACAGGTGTTAATACTTTACCATTAAAAGTATATGAACAAATAACAGCAATTAATGCATAAAAAACTGATGCAATTGATAAAGCAGAGATAATAGGTAAATTAACTTTTCTTTTTTCTCCCTTAACTGGTGAAATAATACTTGGTATTGTATGTTGAACAACAAAAGCAAAGGCTGTATGTGTAAATACAGTTCCAAATCCATTCCAATAAAAATCAAAAACATTTCGTTCATTAGTTAATGGACCATCCACAATTACTTGTATTATACAAGTAATTATCATTACAGTAAATGAACCAAAACGTACAATAGTTAATATGATGTGAACAATTGCTTGTTTTCCTACATCAAGAAAACTTAATGGAATTACAACTAATCCATAAATGATTAATGATCCATAGTATGTTAATTGACATTCCCATGAATCTAAAAAGTGATTCTTTGAATGGCAATAATCTTGATTTCCAATAATAATCCAAATAATTGTTGTAAATGTTTTAATACATGTAGCAACATATGCCCATAATCCTGCATAACAATTAAGTACTAATGACAAATTAGCAAAAAACTTTAATGGATAACTTCCTAATCTATATCCCATTTCAGTATATCCATACGTCTCTTTAATAAAACATTTATTTTCTTCAATAATTTGTGGACTTTCCTTGAAAGACTTTGGTAAAATATTTAATCTACTCAATGCTTCAAGAACATATCCTGAAGTGATGTTATTAACAATAAAAAATAGAATTAAAACCATTAAACTTGGATAAACTCCTGCTTCATAATAAGCAAAAGGTAATCCAAATATTCCTGTTCCAATAGCTGCATTAATAATCAATGGAAATACAGAGAAAGTTGTTATTGTTTTTATTTTCTTATTACCTTCATTTAAAGGTTCTTTTTCAATGTTTTCAATAGGTTGTAATAAAGGCTGGTCGTTCATGGCTTATGCAAACAATCTATTTTTCAGTTTTTATAGAAATAAACCTAAATAGACTTTATTCCCCCTACCCCAAAAGTTGTAAACATAGAATCTTCTTCTATTGTTTTTATTTTGTTCTATTTTATAACCCTTTTAACTAATTAACCCTCAATAAATTTTAATTATTTAACTACATTTCGTTGCTATTTTCATTTAGAATAAGTAATTTCACTCAATTTTTATGCTGTCTATTTCAAGTACAAAACCAAACTAAACGTTAATTATAATATATGTTAAATATTAATAATGAGAAACAAATGTCTATTTTTAAATTTATGGAAATAAATCAAACAAAAAACTAATGAAATGGAAATATAATTTAATTAACTCTAAATATTAAATGAAAAAAATAAAAATAAATACAGTTTAAATTACTAATGTTATTTAACTAAATGTAATAAATAATAGATAGGAATAGATTATCCAATAAATATACATTTTAATTACCTCTCAAATAAAGTATTAAAATAATTCAATTAATTTAAGAAATTAACTAACTCATTTGTTGATGAAGAAATTATATTTTTAATTAATTCTTTCAATGAATCAAATGTAGAATAACTGTGTTTAATTATTGTGAAATATAAATCAACATATTCATTAGGAAATATACCATTTTCAATATCTTTAAATAATGGAAGAATTGAATGAATTATTTTAGAATGAACAACTTCAGTTTGATTATTCAAAACACACGAATAAAAAGCTTCAAGTAAAGTCATTTTATCAATGATTAAATTCTTTTCAAAATTATCACATAAATAATCAACACAAAATCCAATAAGATTTGGATTACTTATAATAATTGCTTTAAGACATTTAAGAACTAAACTATAATCTTCATCTTCACATCGTTTTAATAATCTCCCAACAATTTCTAATGTATTTAAAGTAATACAAGTATTCATCCTTGTTTCTAATAATGCATTTTTTAATTGACAAATAACATACATATCAATAGCATCATTATTTGATTCTTCAAGTATAGTTTGTAGTATTTGAACATATGTACCTTCTTCTTGGTTGATATCATATGAGGTATTGTCTCCCCATAATCGTTTAGTGTAGTTAATTGTTTGTTCATTCATTTGAGTTGTAATAAGTAAACCAAGATATTCATTTTCTTTTCTTAATACATTATTCTCTTCTTCTATAATTTCTATTCTTTGTTTTAGCTCATTCATTTCTTTTCTCATATTTTTGAACTCTTGAATAATTCTGTCATTAGAAACTATTTCTTCCATATGAAATAATTAGTTCTTTCTTTTTCTATATCCAAATCAAAAAAAATTTAAAATTATTTAAACAATAAAAAAAAAAATTAACTAACTGAAAGTACATAAAAAGAATTGATGAAATAATTAAACAAATATATGTATATATATATATATTTAAATTACTCAAAAATCAAAATGAAGTTATTATCTGTTTTTTTTTTCAATTAAATATTAAATAGTCTCATTAATATACTTATGTTATATAAATTATATACTGTTTTGTTGAATATTTTGTCTCTTTTATCTAATATAATATTATTTATTTATAATTGTTATTCAATTACTATCTATAAATTATTTTTCTATGTTGTATCATTCTATAACTTTTCATTTACTAGTTGAATTATAATTGAAATTAGCAATAACCATCATCTAGAATCAGTTTCTTGTTTCATTCAAAAAACTATTTCAAATTTGTTGTATTATTTAACAAGTTCATTACTTGTTTTTATTACATGAGAATAGTTGATAAAAATTTACTGAATTACAACGATGTAATGAGTTGTGTATTGAAATAGAAAATAGTCAATTAAAAAATAAAGTACAATTATATATTTACTTAAATGATTTATACTTTAAGGTTTATTTTTAGACTAGATGGTATTTTCTAGTCCAATTCATCTTTTTATTGTATGAACTTAGTAACGCTTTCAATTATTATTAAATGACTGAAAAACTTAGCTTATCATCTCTTCAAAAGAGATTTGTTGCTTTAACTCAACAATTTCATGATATTATTGTCCTAACAATGTCAGAGCCAAATACTCCAACCATTGAACCAACAACCAACAGAACATCTTCTCATCATTTACCATCACCATTAATATTATTTTTAATATACTTTATAATAACAACAATAGTTTTAATTTTAATTGATTCATATTTGATTTACAGTTTTTATTAAGAAAAAGAAACAAAAAGAAGAGTATATTGAAGAATTTAACTAGTTGAAACAACAACTCTTTTAGAAAACACCTCTAAATGAAGCATAAGCCATTGCTGGAATATTTGGATGTTGAGAAGCTTCAAAAGTAAGAGGTTCTAATTTACAGATAACATTAGATTCTTTGTTATCTGTAATGACATGGATATATGCTCCTTTATTATTCATTTGGTCACAATAATTAGGTGCACTAAATACAGTAATTAAACGACCTTCAGCTCCCCATTCATATCCGTTCATCTTCATTTCATGACTTCTAACTATATATTGAAGATTATTTCCATCAAGGAAATTATGTGTTATATCAGGTCCAAATGATTTACCACATCCACGAATACTAGGAGATGATCCATTAGAAGTTTGTGGATCAGCCCAAAGAAGAGCAGATGCAATTGATCCTTCTTGTGGATCACAACCTCTTTTAATCTTCTTAATATCATCTAATGAAATGTACATTGGTGGAATACCTCCATGAACAACAAATACTTTAGAGTCAATGACATGACAATAAGGAAGTTGCATAAAAACATCAGAAAATGCAAGATAAACATTTTCATTATACTTAGTTTTTACTTCTCCTTCAAACCCATACATTGCATTCATTGCACGAGTTTCATGATTTCCACGTGCAAGAAAAACTGAATTTGGATAAATAATCATAAAAGAAAATAATGTCAAAACACATTCTACTCCAAAACTTCCTCTATCAACAAAATCTCCATTAAAAAGATAAACATTATCTTCAGATGGTAATCCATTTATTTCAAATAAATGAATTAAATCAAAGAATTGTCCATGAATATCTCCTACAATTGTCATTCTCTTTCCTTGAGTATTAATTTCTTCTAATACATTTCTCTTCTTTAAAATTTCACTTGCTTCTTCAATAATTCTAAGACAATATTTTAAATGAATTGCACATTTTCCATATTGACAATTTGATTTCATTGCTTCATAAATTTCTTGAACATTTTCTTTTGTAATTGGTTTATCATCTTCAATTTTTATTGTTGATGTTGATGCATCAATATCTCTCCATGATATTGTTTGTTTTTCATCTTCTACTGAAATAGCTTCAAAAAATAATTGTTCTCTTCTTTTTTCTTTTAATCCTTTTAACATTGAATTAATCATACCATCTTTAGGTGATAATTTCTTTGCTTTCTCACATGCTGAAATAGCTTCTTGTAATTGTCCTAATGCTGCAAATGCAGATGCTTGTCTATAATATCCTTTAACAAAATTTGGATCAATTTCAACACATCGTTCTGCATCTGAGATAGCAGCTTTATAACATTCTAATTTAATATAACAAATAGCACGATTTGAATAATGAACAGCTTGTTCTGGTTCTTCTAAAATAGCCTTATTATACATCTGAAGTGCTCTTGTAAAATCTCCTTGTTTAAAATATTGACCACCTTGTTCTCTATATGATGACATGTTAAACCAATGAAAGGATTTTTACCCTTTTCAAGTTTTTTTCTTCTTATTTTCTTTTTGATTTTTTCTTTCTTTTCTTCTTTTTACTTTCTTTTATTTTTCACTTAACAAAGAGTCTTTATCTATTGTAGTAATTCTTGAGTCTACACAACAACCTAATACTCATCTCTTTTTATAATAAATCATTCAACCCTATTGACCTTTCTATAAATATGAATTTTTGAAAAATAAAAAGAAGAAAATTGGTAATTCCAACCAAAATGAAATACACAAATAAGAATTCTTTATGCAACAAACTAAGCAATTAAAAACCAATCAAAAGGTAAAATAAAAACTACAATTTCAAATAATCTTCTGATATTGTATTGATTATAATTAAAAAAAAAAAGGATAAGAGAAAAAAGAATGAGTGTTAGATTTGTCTAAAAACAAAAATAAATGAAATAAATATAAATAATTAATACAAATATAATATTATATTGTAAAAAAATAATACAAACGAATTAAAAGAAGTTGATCAAATTATTATCAAACAACACTCAAAATTACTAAGAAAAAAAAAAAAGAAAAATAAAGATATAGAAGAGAAAAGAAAAGAATAAATATGAACTAAAAATTGAACTTCATGGAATAATTAAAAGTATTTGTTCTTTCTATGACAGCAGAACCATCTCATATTCAAAGGATTCAAGGTAGAGTTCAACATTATGAATGGGGAAGAGATAAACCATGTTTAGTGTCATCATTAAGTGAATTAGAAAATGGACCATATGCAGAAATATGGTATGGAAGTCATAGTAGATTACCATCATTTTTATTTGGAACAAATGAACCAATTGATATTAAACTACCATTTCTTTTAAAATTTCTTTCAATTAAGAATCCTTTATCACTCCAAATTCATCCAGATGCTTCTACAGCAGAAATTTTATTTAAAAAAGATCCTATTCATTATGTTGATGCTAATGCTAAACCAGAAATATGTATTCCTTTAAGTCAATTTCATTGTTTCTTAGGATTTGTTGATGAAGAACTCTTACGCTTTCAAATGAAAAATAATCCACCATTAGTAGAAGTATTAAATTATAAAGAAGGAGAAGAAGCACGTACTTTATTAGTAAGAGCACATTTATTAGAAAAAAATAAAGTGATTAATTATATAAATGAAATGAGTAAATATATTACTTCATTAATTCAAAATGGAAAAACATTATCAAAACATCAAATTTTATTTAATAAATTAGTCAATAAATTCAAAAATGATGTTGGACTTATTGTTTGTTTTCTTCTTAGATATGAAATATTTGAACCTTATCATGCATTTTTTATTCCTCCTAATTATCCTCATGGATATATTGAAGGAGAATGTGTTGAAGCAATGGTTTCAAGTGATAATGTTATTCGATTTGGACTTACTCATAAATTTTGTGATCTTGAAGCTTTACAATTCATTCCACATGAAACTTGTAATAGAATTAGTGAAGTAGATAAAGAAATATTAACAATACGTTCAGATGATTATCAAGCTGCTCAATCAATTAGATATATAAATCCAAAACAATATTTAAATAGTTTTATAGTTACTGTTTATCATATTAATAAAGGTTTTACTATTGATGTATCAATTTTAAGTACTTCTTTATTTGTATTATATAAAGGAAAAGCTAGAATTGAAAATTCTATTTACCAAATTGGTGCTGCTTTCTTAATTAAAGACAGAAATATTTTAACAGTTAATGCTCTTGATGATGTTTCACTTGTGTTACTCTCATAATTTCATTGTTACTTCTATTCATTCTTTCCTTTTTTATTTTGATTTTTTTCTTAAATAAAATTATAAGATCCTTTTCCAATGCAGGAAATACAACAAATTTTAATGCCATGGCTATTGTGTAAAACCTTAGGGTCTTGTAAAGAAAAGCAAACAAGACATAGAAATATAAGGTTATACAACAAAAAAAGAAATGTCAATAGCAATAAATGGCATAACAATTATAATAATAAAGGTAAACAATACACCAAGGAAAATGTATTATAAGACAAAAGACACAAAGAAAAACAAATAAGAAACAAGGTAAATACAATAATAATAAAGATAATACAAATAATAAATATAAATGGCTAACAATAAATGAGATACAAGAAAGAATAAAAAGAATAACAAATGAATGGAATGAAGGAGAATACGAAGAAATACTAAAAAAATATGAAGGTAAGAGGAAAAGATGGTATGATATTCTTCAAGAAGTATATTCAATTAAAAAGAAAAAGATAATTGAAAAAACTAAAGAAGAGTTTAAAGAAAAAACAAAAGATTGGGAAGAAAAAGACATTAAGGCTATAGAAGCAGAAATTAAAAACAAAAACCCAATTAAAGAAATGAATGATAGATGTAAAATAGCAAGAATAATAAATAACAAACAAAGTATAATGAAAACACAAGAAGAAACAGAAAATAAAGAAGAAAAGATAGAAGAAGAAAAAGAAAAAGAAGAAATACTTGCTCTGAAAAATCAAATTACTGAATTAAAAGAAAAACTTAAAGAATTAAGTATGAAAAGAATGGAAGAAGAACAAGCCATCTCAGAAGAAATGAGGAGAAAAGCAAAAGAAATAGTTAGGAAAGAATTTGAAGAAGAAATTACAGAAATGAAAACACAAATTAAAAAGATTCAAACGAATTATGAAGAAATGAAGAAAGAAAATGAAAAATTAGAAGAAGAAAACTTAAAACTACAAGGAAAAATAAATGAGATAGAAGGAAAGAAAATCACAGAAGTAAATAATAAAGAAGAAAAAATTCGAAGTATCCAAGCTAATAAAAAGAAGATTGAAAAAGAAAATGAAGAAATGAAAGAAGAAATTGAAAAGCTAAAAAAGAGAAACAAAACGCTAGAACAAAATGCAAACACATTAGAGAAGAAAATTGAAATGATAGAGGAAAATACTAAAGAATTAAAGAAGGAAATAAGAGATAAAGAAAAACAAATCTCTGAATATCAAGAAATTGCAATTAAAAACCAAGAAATTGCAGAAATAACAAGAGAAGAATTAGACAACACCCAAAAAGAAAATGAGACACAAAAACAAATAATATCAAAACAACAAGATGATATTGAAAATTTTATCTCACAGAAGGAACTAGAGAAGAAGAAAACGATGACACTTGTGATAAATACACAACCAGTATTGAGGAAAGCATCATCAGGAACAATGGAGATGAACGAAACTACTCCTATGAAAAAGACAGTAGTGGAAATCGAAGAGAAAAGCAAAGCACTGATTGTCAAAAAACAAGAGATGATAGTCAGACAAGAAATACAACAAAACAAACAAATAGAAATTTAAATGAAGTGTTGTATTGTTTTGCAATTAATTGGTTGAATAAGAAATTATATAAGAAATTAAGATGGGAACAAATTGAAAGCATAATAAAAGTGACAAACATTAATGTAAATAGTGAAAAAGAATATATTAAATATATTAAAATGTCACATAAAATAAAAGAAAGTACTAAACAGTACATTAAAGTGAAAGTAAATGATATAATAGAAGGAAGAGTAGAGTGTGATTCAATAATAAAAAACATCATAATAAAGAATAACTCTACAGAAATTGATGAAGAATACCTTAATACTCTCATCAATAAAGTGAAAGAAATGAAAATAGAAAAATGTTCAAACATTAATTACTACTTTCAAAGAAAAGAAGCTGACCGATTAATAATGGAAATTAATAATAGATTGATATTGTCAAGGAAGCAGAATGCAGGATCTACAAGATGATATGAAGAGGATTTCAATGGTTATGCACCTCTATCTCCAAAATCAAATAATAGGAGATAAATTTGATATGAAATAAAAGAAATCCTAAAGAAAATAAATAGACTAGAAGATTTGGTCAAGGGAAGAAAATGGTACAGAATAAAGTGCAACATGAAATTAAATGAACATGATGAAGAAGGAATAAAAGTTAAAGCACTAGAAAGAATAAAGTACCTAAAATATATGATGACTATGATCAAAGAAAGAATTAAATTTAATAAGGAAGAAAGGGTCAGAATCAATACAAATAAAATCATGTTTGATTCTAACAAGAAAATTAGAATAAGGAAGAAATAGAAAATAATGAAATATACCCAAATAACGATATTACTTTAGAATATTGGAAATCGTTATATGAAACACAGGTGATATTAAATAAAGATAATTGGAAAATAAAACAAAACACGATATGGAATGAAAGATATATCAATTATGATAATGTCATAATAACAATAAATGAATTAAATTTAAGTATAATGAAAATAAATAACTGGAAAGCACCATGAATAGACACTATATATGGGTATTATTTGAAAAGGATGTCATCATCAAGAGAAGCCATTCTTAGTATCTTTAATGAATGGTTAAACTTCCCCGAAAACATCCCATTAGACATGGTAAGTGGAAGAACTTTATTAATCCACAAAGTGATATGAATAATGTCACTAATTATCGTCATATCAGTTGTACAAATGTAATTATGAAAGTATTTACCTCCATATTAAAAGAAAAGATTCACAGAAGACTTAACATGAATTGTGAATCATTTAAAATTAGTAAAAATCAACTGGGATGTAAGTTACAATCTTTAGCTGCTAAAGAATGAATAATAAATAGTTATATGATGAAGCAGCAGAAAGAAGAGAAATACCCAAAATATGATGAGTCATATTATGACATTAAGAAAACATATGACACAGTAAACCACGAATGGGTAATTGAATCATTAAAATATTTTAATTATGAGTGTGTCATCATTGACATAATTGAAAGTATAATGACTAGATGGAAGATATTCATTGGTTATAAATTTAATGAATATCTATGATGTATTAAATTAAATAGAGGAATTTTACAAGATGATTCCTTATCAAATATACTCTTCATCATACAGATGAATGTAATTTCTCAAATCATCGAAGAGAAATTCCCAAAAACAAATCACACATTATATATGGATGAAATGAGAATAATGACAGAAAGTAGCGAAGAAATGGGAATAATCCACAATGAAATTAAAGAAATAATAAGTGGAATAGGGATGGAAATGAATGAGAAAAAATCAGGATTGGTATTAAAAAACATTAAAGAAATACCAAACGGAATGCAAAACATCCCCGTAGTTGAATGTGATGACTTGTATAAATATTTAGGAATATGGCAGTCCGACGAAATTGATGACACCTTCAATTGTAAAACCATCAAAGAAAAAATGATGAAAAAGATGGAAGAAATAAACACTGATGAAAGTAGTAATAGAAGATATATTACTAGAATAAACACGGAAGTAATCCCTATCTTCAGATATTCAGCATCAGTTGTAAATTGGAAAATTACAGACCTAGATAAAATGGATTTGGAGATAAGAAAATATTTAAGAAAGGCAAAATACATTGGTGAAACTCCAAAGATAGGTTGTATGTCATTATAGAAGAAATGGGTGAAGGATTAATAAATATAAATGATGAATATGTTATTGAATTAGTAAGAACAGTGATGTACTACTGTGCCAGAGAAAGTGAAATAGGAAATAACATATTAGATAGATGGTACAGTAAGAAGGGAATATGGAATAGAATTAAAAAAGCCCTAGGTCATAAAATCCCAGAAACAAAAATAGAAGAAATAATAAATGAAGGGATAGAAAAGAAAAAAGAAAAAGAAGTAGTAGTAGAAATAAAGAAATTATTGACCGACCAATACATCAAAAAATGGAAGTGTCATCAAATTAGTGGACACTTCAGAAGATGGTTCGAGTCAAAAGGAGTAGATAAAACTACTACAGTGAAAGCATGGAAGTCCATCAATATTAAAAAGAATGCATTTCTACAATTAACTAAAATGCAAGATGGAGCAATATTTTGTAGGTATAAGAAAGCAAAAATAATGAAAAATGAAAGAATGAAATACTGCCCACTATGTAAAGACAAGATAGCTACAGTAGAGCACATTCTACTATCTTGCATTGGTCATAAAAAATCACAAATGGAAAAACATGACAATATTGGCATAATAATATGGGAGGGATTAATAAGAAAATACACTGGAAATAAACAATATAAAAAACCTCCATATGAAACAGTGTTCCAATATAAAGACATCACAATGATAATGAACAAACAAATAATACATAAAAGTGAATGCCAATATCACAAAATACCAGACATATATGTGTTAGATAAAAAGAACAAAACTGGTCTATTATTTGATATGACTATTGTGGCTGATCACAATATTAATGGAGCCTATTGGAAGAAAAGAAATATGTACAAGGAATTAAAGAATAGGCTAATGAAGATAGAGAAATTAAAAGATGTCAGAATAATTCCAGTAGTAATTTCAATCAATGGATTAGTAAATAAAGAAAGTAATAAATTAATTAAAGAATTAAAAATTGAAATTGACATCTTGAAAGAAATTAAAAACCATTGTAATTAAAAACATGATTGATGTCATGGAATACTAATTCAATCACAACCAAACACACTCCGTAGAGCTGCTTGAAGATGAAGACTCATTGGGATTAGTCTCCCCTAATGCAGGAAGAATAGAAGCTATTTCTATTAATACTTAATTATTTGCTTTTGTATTTCTTAAATAAAATTATTGATTTTAATAACATTTTTCTTTTTTTTTAATATCTTTTTTTTTTGTTTTTATAAAAGAATTTTTTAATAGAAAAAAAACTATTAATTATAATTTACATTTTCATGACTGAAGAAATTGTTAAACCAATTCATATTGCATATATTGGAGGTAAATATGTTTATATACCATTCAATGATGTTATAGAATCATTACAAGTTTCTTTAAGAAGTATTTCAAATGAAAAACCATCAACAGGAACATATAATATTAGATCTGCACAATTACAAACTTTATTTGATAATTTTTATTCAACAACACTTTCATCATACTCTCCAGACAATCAACTTTATTTTGCTTATCGTTTTTTAGCATTAGGAACAATTGAAGAAAAGAAAATAGGAACAATGGTAATAACAAAAATACTTGATGAAATTACAATTAATCATATTGCAGACTTTGAACGTATTTTTGATAATGATATTACAACATGGGAAGTTTGTGACTCTTTTTCTGTGAGAGTACTTGGTCCTTTAATTAAAAAAAGTGATGAATTTGCAACAAAAATTTCACAATGGAAAGATTCTGGGAAAGTTTGGCGTATGAGAGCTTCATGTGTTACTTTTGTATCTTTAGTTAAAGTTGGTGCAATGACTGATTTATCATTTGATATTTGTGCAGCTTGTATTAAAAGTAGTGAACGATTTGTACAATTAGGTGTTGGATGTTTATTAAGAGAAATGTCATTAATGTATAGTGATAGAGTAGTTCAATTTATTACAGATAATTATCGTTATTTTAGTAGAGAAGGATTACGTTATTCTATTGATAAACTCAATTCAGTTACAAGAAAGCAAATTCTACTATTAGGAAAAAATAGAAAATCAAAAGGTTCTAATTCACAACCAAAAGTCATTCAACCACAACCAAATAATAATCCTCTCATTGATCCTTCAATAAAAATTAATCAAATTCCAATTCAAACTATCCCTAACTATACATATCCTCAACCTGTTTATGTAGTGAAATATTATGATGGAATATATGATGTTCCACTTAATACACAAATACCAGATCAACAAATTAATACAACAACACCAACAACTTGTCAAGAAATTCAATCAAATCAATCACCAACAATATCTATTCAAAATACTATGTCACATCCATCTAATTAATTTTAATAGAATTCAATTATTATTTTTGGTAGTAAAAACATTATCAGTTGAATTGTTTAAAGAAAAAAAAAAAGAAAAAGAAAAAAGAAAAAAGAACTTAAAAAATTGAATTATGGATAATAACACTAAAACTGCTATCATTATTCATCCTGATCTTGGTATTGGTGGAGCTGAACGACTTGTTGTAGATATTGCTCTTGCATTGGAACATGAAGATTATGACGTTAAATTTTATACATCACATCATGATAAAGAACATTGTTTTCCAGAGACAAAAGGAAGGTTCCAAGTATTTGTTCATGGAGATTTTCTTCCAATTACATTATTTGGATATTTTTATATTTTCTTTGCTACAATAAGAGCTCTTTATTTATCAATAATTGTTGCATGGAAAACTAATGCAGACATTTATATTGTTGATCAAATTTCAATTGGAGTTCCAATATTAAAACTCTTTAATAAAAAGGTATTGTTTTATTGTCATCATCCAGATAAATGTCTTTGTAAAGAAGGAGGATTTATGAAAAAGATATATAGAATCCCTTTTGATTGGTTAGAAGAAAAATCTATGGGACTAAGTGATTCAATTGTAGTAAATAGTTTATATAACAATCAGTTTATGAAAAAGCATTTCCAAGTCATTCTAGAACACCACAAGTACTTTATCCAACATAT